GAATCAGGAAGCGACCTTGCCCACAACCCTAAACCCTAAACCCTAAACCCTCAACCTTGAACCCTAAGTCGTTTTATGGGATCCTGGCGCCTTGAGCGCAAAAAAGGGCATTCCATCTGGCGGGTTGAACATCGCCGACAACATGCCATTTCCAGAGTCCTGGCTCGGAGAATGGTAGAGTAATCCCTTCCCCCTAAAATTAAGCCCCCTTCCCTACCCCCTAATATTAAAAACCCCCTTATAGTTCTACTACAGTATGGGGGGGGGGGGGGGGCGGTATTTAATATTAGGGGGTAGGGGGGGTTTAATATTGCGGGGAAGGGATTACATGGTTGGGCCTTCGGTCTACGCTGGGGGCTTTTTTGCCACCGGTCAAGCGATGCTCCACAGGGCAACTGCAGGAAGAGTTTAGGGTTTAGGGTTTAGGGTTTAGGGTCTAGGGAGGTAGGTTGACCACAGTTGCCCTCCAAAATTGTCTGGCCCCAGCTCTGTGAACAGCTTTCTGTCCTGCGAGTAGGAGATCCACAGCAATGGAACCGAGAGCCCTGTGCAGGTGGTGGCCATGACGGTGAATGCCTGCCACGTAGGGTTTAGGGTTTAGGGTTGAGGGTTGAGGGTTTAGGGTTTGGGGTTTGGGGTTTCCGGTTTGCGGTTTGGGGTTTAGAGTTAGATTGGTAGATTGCCTCAGGCCATGACTCAAGAAGAAGCAGCTTTGCGGTGGCTTGAGATGAGAACTGAGTTCACTAGTCATCTACGATGTCGCAAGATGTCGCAAGTAAGGCAGGCAAGGGTTCATCATTCCCAGATGCTACCAGTAACTCTTCAGCGCCGCCTCTTCAGACCCTTGCCCGGCCTCCATACCGGAGAGCTTGAGCGACTCAATCCGCTCCTTTTTTACTTGGGCGCTGAGCAAGTCTCTGGGAGGGTATTCGTAGACTTAGTATGTTTCTGCTAGCAGTGTCAGTAGCCGTACCTTGTGCTACTGCAATGGACACGACTGGTCATGCTCCTTGTTGCGGGCCCTACATGCTCACTTGCGAATGTCGGCAAGGCAAGGTACCTTGGAGGTGATGTTCAGCAGTGTCTGTGCGAGTGAAGATCCAAGCCTGGTTCGTTGGACTGCAGTATGGTGCAGTATGGTGCAGCATGTTGCAGTATCTGTGCCATCATGCTCGCCCACTGTGCAATCAAACCCAGTGGGAGCTCCTGCTCGTCACACTCTGAGGGGCAGACGCACACAAAAGTCCTGTCCTCAGAGAGTTGCTCGTTATCGGCCTATTTCGAAAAGTCTGCAGCTGGCAAGCCGGCGGGAATCTGGAATCAAAAACCTTCTGGAGTCTCACGAAGTAGGTGGTGCATGTCACAGCGTTTTCTGCTTCAGAGTGCTTCGACAGTGGCGTGCACTCCCTCTCGTTGTACGTAGTAACTGTAAAGCCGAAACGCCCGAAGCAAACTCCACATGTCCACCTGCGACCTGAGCCAATGATCAACCTGAGGTTGACGCAAGCTGCAATCCACATCCGTTGCACTGGCGAGGGACACGCCGACGCAAATGGGCCTCCAACAACACGAATCTGATCACTCGTTCTGTCCACGAAGCACAGAAAGCTGCCCCATGCTGCCCACTCCCAACCAATGACTAGGACTGGGTCATGGTGACTGAGCCCAAGGCAGCAACGAAGCGTAGATCTCCAGGCCGAAGCGTTGACCACCTAAAATCTATGATTTTCTGCTACTGGGCCGCTTTTGCTGGCCAACATGCTGGCAGCAATCGCTCTGAGCTTGGCACGAAACCGGCAGCAAAGCACCTCTGAAGCTGAGCTTGGGCTGTGATGGTCACAAGCTCTGTGCTTGCAACCTCTACTTCTGCCTCGGTGCGGAGGCTTTTGTCCAGCCCATGAAGCCCTCTTCCGCATTGTTCCGCTGGGGAGGGGGGGTTGAATCGACCTGAAGCCGAAGCCGAATTTGTGAAGCTGCATTGCCGTAGGTGACGCGGCATCGCGACGCCGCATTGTCTGAATCCGATTGCAGGGTGATGCCGAATTGTCCCCTGACGCATTGTGGCGTGAAGCCGAATTTGCCATGACGCCGAAATGCCGCCTGACTCCGCCATGCACTTTTCACAAGGACCGCTGCCCTTCTGTGCCAGCCCCGAGTTATCAGTGGAAAATTATAGTTACATTTGGTTAAAACCTTATCTCGGGGTACTTATAACCCTACGTAGAATTAGCCGCCATGAACCTTCCAGTGCAGACCAGCCCAGCAAAATCAAGCAGAAGTGGCTTCTGTAGAAACCAGAACGGCTTTGGCCATGTCATCGTGCCACTTGCAACCCAAGCAGCTGTAAAGAAAGGGATCAGGCTCTTCACGACCTGAGCCCCATGCGAGCTGGTGCGTTGTAATTTAAGACTTGTGCACGCCTGAACAGCTGGGTTCGAGGACATTCAAACTGACCTACCTGCACCAGTGGCAACATGCCCCCGCCAGAGTGAGATGATACCAATGCTTCTGAAGCGCTGCACACGGGTTTCGAAGAACGACTCTTGAGCTGCTTAAGCTGCTAAAGCAAAGCGCGCCTCCACTCACATCAACAACTGCTGCACTAGTACTTGGCTTTGCAAGCCTGGCCTACTGCTGCCGGAATCCTAAATCCTTCTCTGAGGCTGCCAGCATATGTCAGCGTTACGCCCGAGCACATCCTCAGCATTTTGCACGTTTGCACGAGCCAACAAGTGCAGCCCTTCGGACGTTGCGAGGCACGCTGAGATACTTAGTGTCAGCCCCCGAAAGACTCTTCAGTGATGGTGTCTGTTGGACATCATGTCGCCCCATGAACATCCCCCCCAACACTTGTGCTGCTATGCTTGGGCATCCATCGGAACCCAAGAGCTGCGGGAACAGCAACTGCAGATGCCTAAGTGGAGGGCATGCTCATGGAATTGAGCAGGTTTGCCACCATCAGGAGCACTGATGGCAGCAGCAACCTGGCCGGCAAAGCTATGAATCATAAGATGTCACGCAACTTTCTCCTAAACCCTCGCCCTAAGCCCTAAACCCTCCTTGACTCCTGGGAGAGGCATGCTTTCTTTCGGCTCGCTGGGGCAACTTCAGCAGCGATGCCACACCCAAATATGTTAAAACTCGTTAATTACGGGCTTGCAATGCGGCAGATACCTTTGATTTGCTTGCAGACTCTGCTAATGCAGACAGGACAGAACAAATTGCCCAACATCAGCGAGACAATGCAAGGTGTCGACCACGCTATGCAGCCCGGTGCTGCGCGTGAGACGCGCTACAGTCTGCTCTTGGTGCTGCAAGAAGCTCTGCTCTGCTCTGCCCAGGATGTACACCAACCGAACTTGCACATCGGCGGCTGCACCAACGAGAAGGCCCTTTGATTTTATGATAAAGAAGTGAAACTGTTGAGCCAGCACTGGCTGAAGGGTATTGGTCCTTAGATGTGGCGTGTGCATTTGGCCGTTCTCTGGATACTCCCTCTACATCGTAGGACGTGTCCTTCATATCTCGAGTACCTAGAGCCTACAGCTATGACGTCGGCAACAACTACGTACGACTACTGCTCCTGCTCCTGCTCCATGCCTGCCACTGCGTTCATGGTTTAGGATTCCACCACCAAACGCCGCGACCGACAGGGCGCATTCGGTTCGAAGAGTGTCAGAGCTGCAGCTGCGATTGTGTCCACAACGGGTGGCCACAATCCGCGACTGTTCGCCTCTACGTCAAGCCCCTACGCAGGACCTAATCCAAGATGGACCATGTCCGCAACCGAGCGTCAGAACCGCCGAGCCCTCAAAGGGACATCCGCCTCCAGTTGCCGGAGCTCCTGGTAGAGCCTCGGCTGCAATTGTAATCTTCTACATTGCCAGCGACAGCTCTCCCTAAACCCTAAACCCTAAACCCTAAACCCTAAACCCTAAACCCTAAACCCTAAACCCTAAACCCTAAACCCCTAAACCCTAAACCCCCAAACCCCAAACCCCAAACCCTAAACCCTAAACCCTAAACCCTAAACCCTAAACCCTAAACCCCCCGAGGTGTCTGAGCTGGGCGACTCCTCGATGGCCTGCTTGCGGCCCTCGGAGGCCGCGCGGGGCTCGGCCTTGGGCTTCTTGAGGATCAAGATGCAACGGACTCTCTTAGGGTTTAGGGTTTAGGGTTTAGGGTTTAGGGTTTAGGGTGCATGTGTGTGTGTGCGCTCAATCCCCGCTACAGTTACAAGAGAACGCGTAGCTGCAAGATTGGAAGGTTGGGGTTTTCGATCTGCGCCGAGAGGAAGGCCTTATGTATAGCTTGCTCTCAATTTTTACGAATGGCTTACTGGCATAACTGGAAGTAAAGCCAGGGGGCACAAGTAGCCGAGGCTGGCTTCGATCCTCGGACCGTGTCATTTGCATTCCAAGTGCAAGGTACGAGGGCACGGGGTGCAACACGAAGCCACATCACACCGCGTGAAGTCGGCATCAAGCGCGATGCAGGATCCCCATTGTGGACACGCTACATATATCTATAGCACCTCCCTGACAAAGCTTCATTCCCGATGCTGGGTGCAGACGCACCGTACGTGTCAGAGTGCGTTTTATATCAGGTGATGCGACTTAAGGTATGCAGTAAGTACACCGGCAACCTCCCAGGAGGTTGAGCGCACTGGTGCGATCGTGGGCACGGGCATGGTGTCGCGTGGTGCCGCTTTTGACTGCCAGGTTAGGTTTCCACAGGCTGGTAAGAGTACAGCAAACCCGGAATTCACAGAATGCGGATGTCTGCTGGCGAGGTGCCGTCCACTGACCTCGCGCTGCGAGCCTTTGCTTTGGCCCCGGCTGGACCTGGCCAGGAGATGCAAGGAAATGGTGCTGCGGAGTGTAATGCAGTGAATGCAGGAGCCAGGATAATGACCTCTGAGCCATCTGGAACACCCTAAACCCTTTTTGCATCCGGGCTATGATGTCCTGGCCGGAAAGTCTTAGCAACAGTCGCGGATCCTAGCACTCGTGGCTACGACCGCAAGCCTTGCGAATCCATGAGTCTGGTACTTCTTCATACAAAACGACAACAGAGCGTGACTGCATGCAAGCATTGTGAATATCAACCAGCTGATGTCTGTAAGCGTCCACAAAGTCGGCGGTTATGAGCAGCGTAAGAGTGAAATAAGGCCTCTGCATAGATGTGTAGGCAACAAAGAGGTCGATGGAGGCAGCTGTCAAGACCCCGAAGGTGAATACCTGGAAGCCCTCCTGCCTATCCAACCAAACCACCCTGAAGCCATCATCATGCAACCACATGTATCCACAGAACCACCAAGGTACATGAGACGTGAGGGGCTTGCGCCAGCTGGCCCACGGAGAGGCACTAAACAGATGAAGCGGCATCAGATCTCGGTCGTACAGCCGCAAGGAGCGTGCATGCCATTCGTCTCTGTGACTAGCAAGTTCAGCCAGGGTCTCAGCAACCTGATTCGCAGAATCGGGCCGCAGAAGGGGCATCTCGACATCGAAAACTTCACTAACAGTTTGAACTAGCCAATGCAGATGGCTACGCCAAGGCCCTGGTTTGCCCGAAGAAAAGTCGCGATACCCTGCTAACATGAGCCTGCGCGCTAGATGGCACGACGGGCGTCGCAACAAATGACCCATGTAAGTGAATTTCCGGATAATCAAAGCGTAAACCCAGGAGTAAACCTTATGGGCGTGCAGTAAGCAGTAACAAGCACGCTTGCGCAGCCTGTGTACCACCATAGCTTCTGTGTGGGCCAGCTCCGCAGGGATGCACAAGTGTAGAAACTTGGTGAGGACTACAACCTGCAGCACGCGCACAACATCCTGGGTATGTACTGTGGGATCCAAGATGGGGGCGAACCACAAAAATCGACTAGCCAAATACTTGTGCATGAACTGGAGGACCTTCAGCGGTTGCGTCCAATGGAGGCATTTCCAAAGTGAGCGCAGCTCTTCCACACCAGTGTTGCATTGCGCGACTAAGGCATCAAGCATGTGGCTAGGGTTGCTATCGTCGATACTATCCCAGTGCCCAAGTTTTTTCTTCAAGTACTTGACGTGTGTAGCCCACGGACACTGAAAGGGAGCTGAGCCCTCTGGAAAAGACGAGCGAGCAACCAGGAGCTGCGTAGCATGGCTGAAGAATGTCGTCTTGCTCATATTGAGCGACAAACCCAGCGTTCTCAGCGCAGCGCTGAGTTCGTCAGAAAGCCGCAAGGCCTGCTCCCAGCTAGTAAAGGCAGCCAGTATATCGTCTACGTAGCTCCAGAGGAACACTCCGTGATAATTGTCCTCCCCTCTTTCCCGCCATGTTTTGTTAAGGTCATCCATTAAGAGGCCGACAAGAAGGCTGAAGAGCAAACAGGAGTGTGTACCACCTTGCTGAATGCCTCGGGACTGCTCAATTACAAATTGGTGTTCGTGCCACTGAAAGTGAAGCTTAGCCTCAGAGCATACCTGCAACAATCTGGCGGCCTCCGTTGCAACCGCCTCAGAGCTGCGCGCCAACAGGACGTCAGCCAGCTTGGAGTGTAGCACTGAATCAAAAGCTGAAGCTATGTCGCAGCTCAACCATATGCCGTATTTCTTCATGACACTCTCCTTGTCCAAGCAGCATTGAGCAGAAAGCAAAGCGTCAAGGGTTTGGCAGCCCTTGAGGCCACCGAGTTGGTATTGAGGAAGGTCCCAATCAGCTCCAATGCGTCTACATAAAATGCTGGTGTATACCTTGTGGATCGCTTCAATGAGGTTTATGGGACGAACATCCCTAGCGGCAACCGCCATTTGCAGCTTGGGGATGAGGCACACATATGCATCATGGTAACAGGAAGGCACGTCACCATTCATGATGAGCACTGTAAAGTGATCACAAAGCGCATCAACTGCTTCTGGAAACTCGCAGAGCGCCTTTAGAAAATCCCCCGACACACCCGAGAGTCCGCTGGATTTGCCAGCAGCAATTCTGCCAATCACCGTTGTCACCTCAAGGGAGGTGACCGGCTGAACAGTAGACCCTCGCGACAACAGCTTGGCCACAGCTTCTGACACATGTTCATGTTCACTATGGGGATCTTCGGCGCAGAACAGGCTCTCCATTCTCTCTTGGAGCTCAGAGGCGGCCTGTTGTTGACCACCAGAATCATGAATGAAGGTAGCAAGGGAAGCGCGAGGCTTAACACGTTGTCTAATGTACTTGATAGCAGCACAATCCCCCTGGGACGCCTTTGCTTCCAGGCCTTCCCACCACTGTCGCTTCGCCATATGCCGACGGCTGATGATGAGGCGTGTCAGGTGAGCACGTTCAACTGGGTCGTTCGAACACTGGCGCTGTGTACAAAGAGCTTTGAGGTCTTCTGGGTCCTTGTACTTAAGGGAAGGGGTACGATATGACACACCCAGGGCCAGAACTTTGAACGCCTCCCACTGTCCATTCGGGTGGGCTGTAGCGCGAAAATCAAGGGCTCCTGCTGAGATTTCTTGTCCAAGTTTTTGCTTATCAACCATGTAAGTCCCACATTTCCTGTTGCGTCGGAGCCCTCGACGACGTGGCTTCTTGCCCAACACAAACTCGCAGGCAACCGCTCCGTGGTCACTGCCAAGTTCTATATGCGAATTCTCAATAACCTGTACTTGTAAACCACCAACGCTCTGAAAAATATTGTGCTGTAATTGTCTGCTGACAAAGTAGTAGTCCGATTCACTTGATGAGTTGGGACCAAACCTTGTAGGTGAACCACTGCGACGTACACAGAAACCCAGGTTGAACATCATTCCCTCCAGGACTGTAGCTCTAGGACTAGTGCTGGAAGCGTTGAAGTCACCCATGACGAGAATGCGTTCGCGCATGTGGGAACCAAGAAAACTGCCAAGGTCTGAGACCGCAGCCTCAAAGTCCTCATCCGAATTACTTGAGTGAGGCAAGTGTACTGAACAAATCCAAAGACGAGTCTGATCCTTGCTCAGCTCTATCAACGCTGCTATATACCGAAGGCCCTGAGCTGTGCACACAACATGATCAAGACTTTCAGTACGCAGTAATATCATCTGAGCCAAGTGCGAATCAAGGGAGCTCGAACCCAGAATAGTGAATACATCAAACTCACCTGCATGATCCTGTGGCATCCGAATTTCGCTTAGAGGGCCAGGCGCCCCAGCATCATGCTTCGAAAGAGCTCTGAAACCACCCACTTCCTGTAGACAAACAAAATCAGGATCTCGACTAGTAATATTCAACCAGTCTTCAAAAACTGGAAGGGTCCTGCCCTGTATATTCCAGGTACAAGATTCAAGAAAGTTCAGCGGAGTTGGGGTGTCTCAGCGAGTGTGGAGTTGAACTTCGACTTCTCCCGCAGGCAGCTTCAGCAACTCACTGAGCGCAGTGACGTTATACGAGAAGCTGAACGTGTCACCATGCTCATCCCTGGGGTGTGCGGTGATGACCCTGTGGGCAGCATGCGGCAACAGCATTGATGGCGTCCCCGCAGCCACGCGAGTATCCATGAGCCAGACTATCTGCTTGGCCCAATCTGTATCGAGGGTGTTGAGGACATCATGGTTATTTTTAGCCACGGCCTTCAGCTGTTCAAGCGCTATGCCTGTAGCCTTGTTCTTTGCTCTCCTCTCCAAAGTTTTGTGAGGTGTAAGCCACAACTGTCGACCCGAAGAACACGCAAAGGTATCTGAGTATTTGTTGTGGATCTCAAAATACCATAAACCCTAAACCCTAAACCCCTTTCTTTTTTTGGAACCCAGAGTCCTGAAATCTGCTGGGAAAGGCCTTCGACGAACCCTAAACCCTAAACCCTAAACCCTGAACAGAAGCTCCCAGGTGCAACAAAACGTTCAAAAAAAAGAGGGGCGCCGGGCCTGTGATCTGCTGCGTCAGCGTGGCCTGGCTTTGCACCACCCTTTGTAGGACTTCGCTGAGCTGGAGCACCTGCAGCCTGAGCCCACCGTACTCTGCAAAAGAGTGGAGCATGGGGTGATGCCTTCTGGAGACCTCCGACATCCCCAGAACCCCCCCCTCCCGCCCCAAAATCACCCTAACATGGTGTCATGGCATAAGGTCCCCCGGCTCGTCAAGACTCGCAAAGTCAGCTCAGGCTTCCACCCCAGCCGCGATGTCAGCCGGCGTTCGACAGCATCAGCCAACTCCTGCAGCATCGATGCGTGCCGTGAGTCAGCAGAAAGGCACGCCCACCAAGCAACCAGCGAAAGGGCTACAAGGGTTTAACCTTACATGAAAGCTTTGCAGCGGAAACCCTAAACCCTAAAACCTAAAGCCGAAAAAACTAAAAACTAAACCCTAAACCCTAAACCCAAAACCCTAAACCCTAAACCCCTAAACCCTAAACCCTAAACCCTAAACCCAGTCATTACCACAGCATGCGGCAGAGCGACCTCCGTCGGGGCGGTCGGCTCCCGACTCTCAATGGGCTCCGGTGGTGCCGCTGGGCCTTCAAGGGGGATGCACTGGGACATGGGTAAGGTAGCAGGTAGTTAAGGTTGCAAAAAGCCTCACTGAGTTTCTAGGCGTTGCTATACTGGAGCTGCAAGTTCATGCCAAGCAAAATGGCATTTTTCTTGCAAACGATGATGGAGCGTGCATGCGACTGGCCGCATGGCGACGGCGGTCGTACAGTGATCAGCCTTCGCGGCGCCGCGCGGATTGGCCCGCCAGCTCCGCGCGCACTGCGACGTTCTCTGCCCGGAGAGTTTCGAGGCCGGCCTCATCTCTCTGTCATTGCAACAATTTCTCTGATCCCTCTTGTCCAGATATTCTACAATCATGAAAACCACTTCCCAGCCCTACAGATCCGGATGTCTGGACATTCTCTTTCCCTAAATCCTGAACCCTATAACCCTATAACCCTATAACCTAAACCCCAAACCCCAAACCCTCTGTGGGTCCCTCGAATAGCTTGGCTGCGCCTCCGTCTGCCTCTCCAAATCTTCGAGGCGGCGCTGCGAGGCACTAACTTGCCGGGCGAGCTCCTCCACCTTCTTCCTGGGCCGAGTTTAGATGTGTTTAGGGCCTAAGGTTTTTTGTCAATAGAGTTTAGGGTTTAGGTGCAGGGTTTTTTCGGCGTTTTTGCCTTTGCCCCTTCAGGCGCCTTCAGCCATCTTATGCCGGAGTTGGTGTGCCTCTTAATTGGGATCCTTGCAGGTGCTGGATGGACTCAGAAGATTCTGGGCATGCAGGCCTACAGTAAAGTTTGGGATAGTTTTTCTGGAGGGTCAACCATTTTTGGGGATGCCTGTCTGTGATCTCCGGAATTTCGGCAGCTGGACTTTACATCAACCTTGTTGGCAATGCTGTGCAAGTTGCCAAAGCAAACTTGTCCCGACTTCTTGATGACCCTCGCACGATTCACTACCCGATTCATGACCTGACTGCTGCCGGAGCCTGACCGTATGCACGTTTTCGATCGTTTTCGTGCGCCTGATTAATGATGAAACTTGCCAGCCTCTAAAATTCCTATATTACGATACTACTATATTACTATATTCCTATATTCCTATATTCTGATATTCTTATAATACTATAATACTATAATACTATATTACTATATTACTATATTACTATATTACTATATTACTATATTGCTATACTGCTATATTACTAGACTACAATCTTACGAAATTGCTATACTACTATACTACTATACTAGTATACTACTTGACTATATTACTTATATGAATATAGCAGTATGCAACTTTATTATATTATGATATTGTTTTCTTATTGTATTACTATATTGTTACACTAATATATGAGCGTACTAGTATTCTCGTATATCATTGTAGTAGTATACTATTCTATTGTTCTATCACTAGGCTTGCAGAAGTGAAGCGGTTCTCGGACTCAGACTAACGGTGGGGGGGGTTCGAAAGTCACTCCGCCTGCGCTTCCATGTCGTGCCCGGCTTACCCAGCACCAATGGACTTCCAAATCAAGCAAAATTGTGCAGCCATGGTGCTGTGAGCCTTCTGCCACGCCCAACACATCATCGGCCAAGCGCACGCAGGTTGCCTGGGCCTGCCATAACTTGCTGGCAGGCACGTTTTTCTGGGAGGCTACTCCAGCTGCCAAAGTGGGGCCAAAGGTCCCAATGCACTTTGCACTCGGTTTCGGGACCCTTGCTGAGTTTTAGTCATACGGCTAGTGCGACATTGGCCTGTAAACTTCATGTGAAGACTCTTGTTGCGGGGTTTTCGAGCTGCATGGCCAACCCGCCCCGAAAGGCCAATTCCTATTCTAAGGGATACTGAAAGTTTTTGCCACCCGCCAAGCACGTGCAAATACTCCCGCGGCGACTCCAGGGAACGATGGGTTTCAGCACTACACCGAGCCCAGACATTGCTGCTCCGATGATATGTTGCTCGACATCCCGCCTGCTTGGTCTACATCGACTATAACTTAGGTTTTGTTTGGAAGGCTTATCAGGCGCACATACACTGACACACCTTCGCGGGAAGACTGCATGAACGGTGGGACAAGCTGCGGTTATCTGCGACTAAGGGTATCGGTAGATGGGGCAGCGGGCTCCCACAAGACTCATTTCCATTTGTGGCAGAGTCACGAACCAAACCTGAGTTCTACGCACAACTCGTCTTGCGGCCTCGCGGATGACCAATGTGGCCTCGTCACTCGAGGCCGCCTGCAGGGACCCTCGAACAACGCGCCGCAGTATCACTAGCAGGCCTGGGTGCAAAAAGGTATGACGGATGGAAGAGCAAGATGGGTGTCGGTTCAAATATGACTCTGTGAAGTCTGTGCCCTTGGGTTTGGGATATTGTGGGGTTTGTTGAGTTGTTCAGCACTGTGACCAAGTCCCTCCCCGAATCTTGCAGATGGCGGCGATAGGGGTCACTCAAGCGCTCTTTTGCATCACCCGGAACTCTGGCCCCCCATACATACTCATAATCATACTCTGCATGTATTCATTTAGGGTATAGGGTTTAGGGTTTAGGGTATGATAATCAAAAAACAACAACAAAACATGAGCCCAACTCCTATGCCGGGCCTGGAGGGCGTGCAAGCGCTCGTCGAAGCGTTCTTTTAGAACTCTCAAGCGATCGTCTACACGCTGACTCAGATCTTGCACCTCAATGATCAAGGAATGTCAACTCATGCCGGGGAGAACCCAGCGAAAACATCCCCAAGTTCCTGTCAGAAGTTAAGTGAGTCATTGCAAGCGGCGTGATGGTACTTTCTTAAGTTACAGCAGCGAAAGGTTCACAGCTTTTTGACGTCCGGGTGACCCCCAGCGAGAGCTCATTTCGAAGTCTTGACATGTCCTGAGCTGCTGGTCTCGCAGAAAGTTGCAGCCAATATATTTGCGAGGCCCTAGCAAACAAGGCTGCACTTGCGTACCAAAACGTTGCACCCCGGCGTGTCTGCAGTGAGGATGGGCAACTACGATGCGCTTGGCAGGCACGCGCTTCTCGTCGCGTGCTGTTCGCCTCTTTTCTGCCGGGCAGCTGCTTCGACCACAGTCCGGCCCTCAGCCAAAGCCTGCACAGGACGGCACTCTGTGAGCTATGAAGCCCCTGTGGGTTGCATACCTATCCTGCCGACTTCCGACTCATAAACATCCTTGTCACATGTTTAAAGTCAACATCCCATCGCCTGCTCCAGCCGCAGAGCTCGGCCTTCGAGACCTGGTCCGCTTGCTCCCAAGCCCGCTCTCAGTGAGGTCTCTATCGATCTTCTCAGGGAGGTTTTTTGGGGGAGGTGAGGTCGTGGACCCGCTGCCAGGCACTGGCACAGGCCTAGCCGCCAGCTAAACTTTCGAAAACTTAAATCCGCATAGGATACATGGTTCATGATGCGTTCCTTTTTTCCATCCCAGGCACGGTGCATCTGCTCAAGCGCATCGTGGCGATCTGACTGGGCTGCCTTCGCTAGGAGGGCACGCTCTCAGCAGCAACAAACACAGGGCCGTGCCGATGTCTGCAGGGGATTTCTAGAGTACCAACAGAATCGCTTGGCGCCGAAGGGGGTGAAGGGCGGCGTTCTCTGCCCCAGCCTCGTGCATCTGGACGCTCTGAGCCTGAAAGAGGGCCAACAGAATTCTCAAGTCTCCCCTGAGCCTGAGATGCCACAACGTCCACTGCTTTTAACCTTACTTTCTTGTATATTATGTCAGTACGTTCTGTATATTATATCTGTATATTCTGTATATTATATGTATGTGTATATATATAGATATATGTACATATTATGCACAGTCCTTGTGCAGATTGTACAGTGCATCCTTTTGGAGCCGCGCCAAGGAAGGAGCCGCAGCATGTGCCGTGCCTGGACGAGCTCCCAGGTGCGACTGGAACTTTGGAGCTTCTCCTGCAGGAAGAGCGCGGCTCAACTTATAGCTCAATGGGTTTAGGGTTTAGGGTTTAGGGTTTAGGGCAGCTAAACACTCTAAAGTCCACTTATGGCTCAATGGGCTTCGGGATTTTTTTTTGGCTTAGGGTTTAGATCAGATGCTTTTCAGCCATATAAGAAGGGAGGATAAAGCCATATGGAAGGGAGGAGTTTTGCTTCATGCAGGGTTATTGGGGCTCTTAGGGGGTGCATGTCGAGCCGATGCCGATCTGACGATCTGCATGGTCACAGGTCACCTCCAGGTCGTCCACACGCCCCCGCAGCAGACGAAGGTCGGAGGCGGCCGCCTCAACCTTCCGGGTTTCGGGTTGAGGGATTGGGGTTTAGGGTTTAGGGTTTAGGGTTTAGGGTTTAGGGTTTAGGGTTTAGGGTTTCGACTCTCACACTCGGGTTTAGGGTTTAGGCTGTAGGGTTTAGGGTTTAGGAAGCAGACCCTAGTCAAATACATCGCCAGCACTCGGACGGGGGCCCAGCATCGCCATGTGCCCGAAAGGCCCCAATCCCAGCATAAATCCGTCTGGGAGCCTCTGCACTAGTCTTCCCTTATAGTTTCCGTTTAGGACCCGACTCCTCTGAAAGGACCGCAACAAAGGGATCTCGGGATTTAGAACGGGTGGAGTTTTTTTTTTGGTATTTTTTTTTTCCTTGGTCGATTTTCTTGGTTTTCTCTAGGAAAAACCCTACTTTCCTTACATTTTGGACGGATTTTCTGTCATTTCCCTTAGGTTTTCGTTGGTTTTTCATAGGGAAAAACCTATTTTTTACATTTTGGACGGATTTCCTGTAATTTCCCTTAGGTTTTCCTTGGTTTTTCCTAGGGGGAAAACCCTATTTTCCTTACATTTTGGACAGATATCCTGTCATTTCCTTCGTTTCTTGGGCTTTGAAGCACGCTTGGTACGGCTTAAAAGAAGCGGGGGGGGTTGGGGGGGGGGGCGCAGCCCCCCCACTTGCAAACACCTCTTGGGCTTTGAAGCACGCTCTGCGCGGCTTCCAAAAAAAAAGAGCGGGGGGGTTGGGGGGGGTCTCACACGATGCTTTTCAACTAGTTTCTTGGGCTTTGAAGCAAGCTTGGTACGACTTAAAAGAAGCGGGGGGGGTTGGGGGAAAACACAGCCCCGCTCCCCCATTTGCAAACACCCTGCTCACATGACGGGTGTCAACAAGTTTCTTGGGCTTTGAAGCACGCTCTGCACGGTTTGAAAAAAAACGAGGTTTTCGTTGGTTTTTCCTAAGGAAACCCTCTTCTGATTACATTTTGGACGGATTTCGTCAAACGTCAAAGCGTACGTTGCTTTTCCTTAGTTTGTCCTAGGGAAAACCCTATTTGGTTCGTTTTCTTGGTTTCTATCATTCCCTCTATATTTTCATCGGATTCATACTTTTTTTCAACTAGTTTCTCGGGCTTTGAAGCACGCTTGGTACGGCTTAAAAGAAGCGGGGGGGGTTGGGGGGGGCGCAGCCTCCCCCCATTTGCAAACACCCTGCTCACATGATGGGTGTCAACAAGTTTCTTGGGCTTTGAAGCACGCTCTGCACGGCTTAAAAAAAGCGGGGGGGTTGGGGGGGGCGCAGCCCCCCCCATTTGCAAACACAATGCACACACGATGGTTTTCAACTAGTTTCTTGGGCTTTGAAGCACGCTTGGTACAGCTTAAAAGAAGCCGGGGGGGTTGGGGGGGCTGCGCCCCCCATTTGGGCTGCCCTTGGGCTTTGAAGCACGCTTGGTACGGCTTAAAAGAAGCGGGGGGGGGGGTTGGGGGGGCTGTGCCCCCCATCTGCAAACACCCTGCTCACATGATGGGTTTCAACTAGTTTCTTGGGCTTCGGCTGAAAAAAAGCGGGGGGGTTGGGGGGGGGCGCAGCCCCCCCATTTGCAAACACAATGCTCACACGATGTTTTTCAACTAGTTTCTTGGGCTTAAAAGAAGCGGGGGGGGGTTGGGGGGTCTGCGCCCCCCATTTGCAAACACCCTACTCACATGATGGGTGTCAACAAGTTTCTTGGGCTTTGAAGCGCGCTCTGCACGGCTTAAAAAAAGCGGGGGGGTTGGGGGGGGCGCAGCCCCTTCCATTTGCAAACACAATGCTCACGATTTTTTTCAACTAGTTTCTTGGGCTTTGAAGCACGCTTGGTACGGCTTAAAAGAAGCGGGGGGGGGGGTTGGGGGGGGCGCAGCCCCCCCCCCCATTTGGCTCACATGATTGCACGGCTTAAAAAAAGGGGGGCGCAGCCCCCCCCCCCCCCCCCATTTGCAAACACAATGCTCACACGATGTTTTTCAACTAGTTTCTTGGGCTTTGAAGCACGCTTGGTACGGCTTAAAAGAAGCGGGGGGGGTTGGGGGGGGCGCAGCCCCCCCCCATTTGCAAACACCCTGCTCACATGATGGGTGTCAACAAGTTTCTTGGGCTTTGAAGCACGCTCTGCACGGCTTAAAAAAAGCGGGGGGGTTGGGGGGGGGGCGCAGCCCCCCCCATTTGCAAACACAATGCTCACACGATGTTTTTCAACTAGTTTCTTGGGCTTCGAAGCACGCTTCCTTTCTTCCTTCCTTGCTTCCTTCCTTTCTTCCTTCCCTCCTTTCTTCCTTCCTTCCTTCCTTGTTTTCTTCCTTTCTTTCATCCTTCCTTCCGTCCTTTCTTTCCTTCTTTCCTTCTAAACCTACCAGAAATAACGCTTTCCTATGAAACCACAGAGAAATTACTGTTTTTCGTACGAAAAACCACGAAAATGCATCAAATCCTGGGAATGGTGGTTTTCTTAGGAAAAACCAAGAAAATCGACCAACAAAAAAAAGGCACAAAAAAAAAGACCCCAAAAAATAGGCCCTCCATTTAGAACAACTCCACTTGCAGGGGCTTACGACAGCTATAATCAAGAAATCAAGAAATCTAGAATGTGAGCCTCTAAGCCCTGAACTTCTTCCAACCTCGGTACCCCAGAGGAAAGGCCCTTTTTATCTTAGGACTATGAGCAGATAGGAGTACAAAGATCAAGAGGGCAACTGATCTAACTTTTTTCAAAACTCAAGCTGCCTCCAGCAAGGCCGTGTTTGAGCGCTCCTTGCCGACTCAACCATGCAATCTGACATGTCGGTGCTGCAGCAAGCTGGCATCGGAGCAGGCAAAGTTCCTTATTGCCTACACTGAGGAATGTCAGGCTGCAGCTGAGGCTCCACTTGATTTTCCAAGTACGCCTTGGTTGGTCTGTCACTGGCGCAATGTGTCAGACTTTCCTTTGCTTGCATGTGCCAAGTGAGTCTTTGTTTGCGGCCCTTTGTGCTCACAGCAGCACTGTGCAACGATGCTCGAGGATGAGGCCCAGCTGATCTGTTAAAGCTGCTCACTACTATAGTACCAGCGCCGCGGCACAATGTAGGCGTTTCTGTCGGTGAGCAGCCTCTTGCGCTCCTTGACATGCGTAATTACCCCGGCACAGCACACCACCGTTTCGTGCATGAGATCTAGAAGGGGTGCTGCATTCCAGCTGCTGCGTTGGAGGTTCTGAATCAAGACACACGAATATCTCCAGCCGCCCCGTTCCATGCAGAGAGATGACGTGCATGTTTGGTCACCTTCTCAATGGTTGCCGGGACCAGCCTTCAGGCTTCTACATTCTCACTCTTCACCCATTACTCTTCCGAGAGGTTTAAACTGAAACTGAATAAAAGAGGTTTTTTTGCCACCCGACTAGCCACAGCACAGCGGGGTTGATTGGTGGGACTTGGGAGAATTGGAAAAAAACCCACCTGAAGGCATTCAGATTGGGACATATGTGGGACAGTGTGTGAACCGGCCATGCCAAAACCAAGCCTGTCAAACACAACCGACTCGTGTGGTTCTGGCGAGGCGCGATCGGTTCATCTGTCCCTCTTTACTGCCGTGGCCCCTATGTAAGGTTTAGGGTTTAGACTTTGGGGTGTTCTCTGGCAGCCCACACACTTCTGGCCACATCGAGCACAGCCTCTGGTACTGTAGCCGAGCGGCGTCGGCAAGTTGTGCTTTCCTCCCGAGGTGCACGTGCTTCTATGTGCAGGACTCCAACCCTAAACCCTAAACCCAGCTTGAATCTGCGATGTAAAGGATTGAGGTTGCCATGGGCTGCGGCTGCAGGGTACCCGGTAGGCCCCGAGTACCCCACTGCGTTTACACGAGGCAATGCTTCTCTCGAAATATGTGCATGGAACTGCCCCGGCCCACGTGCATCACGACTGCATATGAACCCAAGGCTCACAGCATTTTCAGGATTCGAAGGATACCCCCATGTCTGTCTCTGGACCCTTAGAACCCTTCGACTGCCAACCTTGGACTGCCGAGCCTGGCATAGCTGCCGCCTGCGCCTGGGCTGCGCGTTGCCTCCATGGCCTCGGTGTCGATGTGAAAAGAGACGATGTGCAAGGATGCTGGGTTGAGGGGTTTAGGGGTTTAGGGTTGAGGGGTTTAGGGTTTAAGGTTTAGGGGTCGCGCGGGAGTTTAGCGACGCACCGAGACAGCCGGAAATGCCTTCTGGATTGGCAGAGGTTTCCGTCGCAAGCAACGTAGAAGGAAAAACAGACAGAACATTTCAGGCCCTTAACATTCTGCAGTACGGCTTGGATCATGCCGCGGTGGGCGTGAAGGATCACCGGGCAAGAAGTTAGTGCACAGTGAAGATAGAAGAAAAAAGTGGTGCATCAGCAACTGGTTCTAGTTTAAGGGGTTCTCAGCGCTTGTTTGGTTTATCGCGGCTTTGGCCTTGAGGTTCGCCAACACCAAATGGATTTTCGGCTTCACAGCCTGTTGTATCCGTGCCGTTGACCATCTGGCAATCCAAGATTACGTGGCGCAGTGTCTCTGCTGCAGCTTCTGCAGTATTGATCGCACGCACGCAGAAATCTGCAATCGTCGGGCATTCGCAAAGTTCGGGCCCGCATCGAGTCGCCACACAATGCATTTTGGCATGACATTTTGCCTCGGGGTAGTACCTAATAATGTCGCCATAGGAACCGTCTTCGAGTCTTCGACTCCACCAATCGCAATTTTGGGGACGGCTGCTTCATACGTGAGCTTTAGAATCGAGAGAGCGACGCCTGTTGTCAGGCCGTCCTTCACTGCGAGGGCAAGCGCGACTGCAAAGCTCCTAAGCCCTCATGGTAACCGGAAAGCTTTTGATATCTGTGACCCCGATTGCCACATGAATGATGAGTGGAGCAAGTGTGGAGAAAGGAAGAACCTCCAGAACAGGCATGATGAATTTACACCGCAAAGAAGGACAACCACAGAAGTCAAGGCCCCAGCAATCTGAGGGGTGGCCCCGAACATTGAGTTCACCGCCCTTCGGGAAAAGCACCCGGTGATGGGGAAGGGGGGCCATGACTGAGGCGGCACCCAGGGCAAGGAGTTCTTGGTTTGCATCATAGCCGTATCGCTTCGCGTTGGCCAATGTTGGCCATCTTCCCCCCCGCGCAGCAATTGTCTCCAAGAAGCCCACAAATGCAATCATCCCAGCAGGCACATGGTCCTGGCCGAAGTTGCCTTACTGAAGGTGGGGATGTGTCGAAGACGCAGCCATCGCTCTCTGTGTCCCGATAGGATTCACAGAGACGACATGTCTGCAAACAGCTTCACGGTCTTTCAACAGAAGCCATGATTGCTCCACTTCTATGCAGTTTCAGCTTGCTTTCATGCCTTCAGGTCCATTGCATAGAGTCACAGAGCAGGGGGGGCAAAGGAGGAGTAAAGCCCGGCCTCGACGGGGAGGCTAGCCAGCAGGGCAAAGGCCAAGCATGCTATCGCCCTTGAATAGGGCAACTCACCAGCAGCCTCCAAATCTTCGCTGGTTGGGTGCCCCGGGGTGAAGTAACGTGGCAACCAAGACATGGGTGGAAAAAGCTTGCTCGCCCTAAACTTCTCGCCCGAATAGGCGGAGCACCAGGCTGGAGCCAGGGCAGTCTCCGGGAGGGCTCCCATCAGCAGATATCGGCAGTTATGGTCGGAACACAGCCGTACAATGGAGCGAAGGCACTGGAATCTTGAGCCAATGCACAGCAATGCACAGCCCAGCACGCAAGCATCAAGGACTATAATGGCCGATGGCTGACATCCATCTTCTGACATTGAGGGACCTAAGCTCCAGGCAATCAGCGAGAGATGGTGCCAAAATGCCACACCATCACGTGTAGTACGCTAGCCCTTCGCCCCTTATGTTCTGAAGCAGGCATTAGGAGGAGTCACATTGCGCAAGCTGCTTGTGCTTGGCTTTGCTGCTGCAGTTGTCAATGCCGCTGCTATCTGATGCTTGCTTGCTGCTTTGTCAACATTGAGCGTCAGTTACGCTCTCTAGCTGTAACATGCTGAAGCTTGATTCAATGATCGGTGCGCTCGATAAGTCGCCTTAACAGCCGCTAGTTTGTCTTCTCATGGAATTTCATGCGTTCTGCAATGGCTGAATCCATGATGCAGACACATGCAGAGCGAACAAGTTCACGAATAGTCACGGGGCGAACAAGTTCACGAATAGTCACGGGTGCCCGCGATCAAACCATATGAAAAGCACTACAGTATTCAGCAGCAAGGCCTGTACATGTGACTCCTCGGAATTGTCCAATGCACGTGTGCAAGCTCTGCCCTTCCTCTTCAGTTCACCCCGCAAACTCAACTCAAATTTCTGGCAGATTCTGGAGCCTTCTTGAAAGCCGTGGAAGGAAGGGGCCCAAGGGTTGTGCCTTAGCTTTGCCAACTCTGTCTGCTAGTGGGCTCCTGATTCTCACAGGCACGTCCTTGACAGGCTATCATTCATGTCAACTCCGCGAGGGATTTTCAGATGACAAGCTGCAAACATAGTCCTAAACCCTTACCTAAACCAGTCTTCTGTGTTCAGTCGACTCTGAACACGACATCCGGCACAGAGTTGTCGAAGGAGAGCTTGGCTCCTAGCCGCAGCAGTGGATGAGGCCACTAACCTGGCAGATCACAGTTGAGCATCAGAACTGCTGTGACGTCCTCGGTATGGATTCAGATGTTGAAAGTAAGTGCCGTTTCTAATGATTTTGTCACCACGCTGAGTTCGCGGTGGAAGCTATTCCAGCGACTGCAAAAGCGTCCACTCCTGTGATAGTTCTGCTTACGCAATCAAAAGCTGCAGGGTCTGGCGGGTCTGGAAGGTCCAGCCAAGTGACCCGAGGAAGCTGGACAACGCGAAGCGCACGAAGGTGTGACTGGCAGATGCTGGGCAGAGTGTCAGATGCTGCTGTCGAAAGATGGGGGGGGGCAGTTGGGGTTTGTGGGGGAACTTAGCACGCCGCCTGCGCTGCCATGCCAGCTGAGATGGCTGAGCAAACTTGACGCTGATCACTTGCAAAACATGTCTCTAGGGCTTCGCAAGACTGGTCAAGGCATTTCCCTTGTTGTTCTAGTTGTTCCCCAAACCCTAAACCCCAAACCCTAAATCCGAAACCCCAAACCGCTTGCCTGCTACTGACGAGAGTCACTCCCTGGCCCGGCGAGATCAGAGCACGACATCTTCAAAGAGGCGTCCTTCTCCACTGGCATTCTCTCGATCGTGTCTATGCTTCTTCTAACTTAAGCTGCTCCCCCCCCCCGCCCTAACTAAATTTCACCCTCCCCTTGACATACCTATTCCATCCGGCCCAGAGTCGCCTGGCAGTGTCTTCCCAACTCTTGTGTTCTGGGCTCTTCTGCAGCGCTTGGAGTCTCGGTCCCGTGCTCTTTCGAAGTGAGTGGGGCTCGCGTTTTTGGGACGAAACAATGCGCTCTCACCTAGGCGCGGGCGTGGCCGCACTCACCGTCCTCAAGACTGTCATCGCTTCAAGACTTCGGGGCTCGTGAACTGCGAAACCGCCCTCGTGTTTGGATGTGTGTCGCAAAGCTGTCATCGCTTATGGATATCTAGGCTGCGAAATGCGAAGCTGTCATCGCTATTGGACTTTTGTCCCTCCCTCCCTCCCTGGGCCCTCCCTCTCTCGTTCTGTTTTCGTTCCCTTGGGGTTTAGGGTTGAGGGTTGACCAGGCTAACTACACAACACCCAGATCGCACCCAGGAGGCTTCCGGAGCAGTCTTTCCTCAGAACTCCTCGCTTTTCAATTGTCGCAGCCCTGAAGCAGGGCGGGATGGCCCGAATGGATCATGGAACCTGGGTCTTGTGGCCCTGGTTTAGGGGTTTAGGGGTTTAGGGGTTTAGGTTTTTTTTTTTGCCACCCACTTAGCTGAGCCCAGGGGGCCGCTCTGCAGGGTTTAGGGGCTATAGGGTTTAGGCTTTAGCGTTTGGGGTGCTGCCTTTTCATGCTGTGTTGACAGATGGAGCTTGTCCGAGCAGCGTTCGAAGAAATCGTCCGTTGGCATAGGTGCTGAACCTTGGATGCCATGTCGCACAAATTCGCTCTTGCTTCATGATGCTTTATGTTGCATGGCAATAGTCCCTGCCATAAACTAGCAGTGTAGCTTGTGAGCCCATGTCGTACCGGTACCCACTTTGAAGGTTCACGGGGCTGAGATGAAGAGGATCTGCGTCAGCTTTTGGATCTGATACTATGTCGGAGGCGCAGGTGTTTTTTTTCTTAGGTCTGGCTTTCCCCTTCGTTTTTTTTCCTAGGTCTGGCTCGACACCTGGGCGGCCGACAGGCTGTAAACACTGTAATTTGCAGGGTTTTGCGCGTTTGGAGCTCCTGAATCACTGCAAAAACCGCAGCAGAACCTGTAAATCATTGTGTTTATGTACGTTCGCCTGCTTGACAGAGCGCCAAGTCCTAGCAATTACAGCATTCACGGGCGTTTAATCGCGTTTCGGGCTCCTGAATCATTGCAGAAACCGTCGAATAAATCTGTAAACCATGTTATTTCTGTACGTTCGCCTGCTTGGCAGCGCGCCAAATCCTAGTGATTACGGCATGTGCGGGCTTCTCATACGCTTGAATACGAAAATTTGCAGTGTTTTCCGCGTTTCGAGCTTCTGAATCATTGCAAAAACCGCAAAGAACCTGTAAATCATGGTCCTTATGTACGTTACCTGCTTTCAGATCCTAGCAACCAGAGCATGCATGGGCTTGTAATACTGTGCTAGCATTTCCAGGTCCCGGGAAACATTACAATATAAGCATATATATATATATGGATTTATTTATACATAGTACGTATATGTCGTCCTGCATGGCGACCCAAGCCTCGCAGAGCCATTGGACACGGGCGACTGCTTGCCGCAGGCAAACTTACCCGCGCCTGATTCTTTTCATTGTTGTAGATGCCAGTGTGTGGTGGAAGCCGACTACCAGGCCCAGGAGTGGCCTGTCAAGAAGAGTGCTATGGATTTGCTGCAGAAACACTTTCACTTGCTCTACACTGCTTGCCTGCCTGCACTAGGTCAAAGTTGGCGCGGAACTCGGTGGGTCCCCGACTGCTATTCTGACTGGAGCTGCAAGCTGGCCCGCGCACGGGCTGGAAGCGTGTTGCAGCAGCATTGGCACGAGCTGCGGAGGCGGGCGCCTCGTTGACGGTAGGGGCAAACTCCGCGCCCTGCTGCTCGGCTGTCGCGCGCGCACGCAGGCAGGCCTGACGCTCGGCCGCTTCTACCATGAGCTGCCCTGCGCTTCGGCCGCGTTGAGAGAAGTCGAGACTCGGTGGACGTCCAACTGCACGCTGGCCGATGACATCGAGAGATGTGTCCCCGGTAGTGAGCAAAGACTGGACCACCCGCATGTGTTAGCAACAGGACACCAGCGCAAATGGCAGACTCGGGCAGAGGCTCTGCAGCATGCTCCAGCGATCGGTGGCCAGCTCACCGGCCAACACTGCGACCCGATGATAACGGCACCGCTTCCACACAAAATCCAGTGCATAGGCGCGACCTGTGATGATCCGCGCCTGTCGCCACAACCGGAGCAAGTCCGTCCCGCTGCGCATGCTTGCCATTTTCGCACACTCGTGGGCTTCTATGCAGGAGACCCTGAGGTCGTCTGCAGGTACAGGGATGTAGGCTCCACCGTGAGCGGCCAGGACGCCACTGCAGGAGGCTGCGACGCATGACATAGACAAAGCCCTCCCGTAACTGTACACGCTGTATGCACTCGCGTTGATGCCAAAGCGCAACTGCAGAGCTGTTGATCTGCCATTTCGCGACAGGTGACCACGCGCCATCAAGGCTTCACGAAAGGGTGGGAAAAATGCCCGCGGGTCCCGCCCTGCAAGCACGCGGACCAGCGCAGCGCGAAGGTCATGCTTGTGATTTGCTTCGACGGGTTGCGACCCAGCTGCGCCAGGCTGCGATCGGGCATGTGATGCCCGCCAGCTCGCGCAAATGACTGTGCCCTCTGCCGTTAGAATAGCATCCCTCACCTGGTATTGCGCCAGCACCTCTGCTGGGGAAAGCTGAAAAAAGTATGTGCTGCGTAGGTAGGACATGAACTGAGGTTGCCCCCAAACATCCTTGCTTTTTTGTTCCGCCATGCGCCGGAAAAACCGCAACGAAAAGTGATGGAACTCCGTGAGGTTCGGGTAATGTGCAACACCGACTTTATATCAGCTGTCTGCGGTTCAGGCAACCCTGACAGTCTGCTTTTGATCATTGCCCCACATGTGGAAGAAGTCAGACGCACGCACGCTGTCAGGGAATGTCAACTGCCGTGCAGTCTCGATTGACATTGCCCAGTCAGCATGAACTTGCCGCACGTGGTCTTTCACAGGCATGCGTGCACCTCACGCACAGTGAGGCGGTTGACAGCTTCAAAAAGCAGGTTGTATACGTGGTGCACGTCGGCAGAGGTAACTGCGTAGAGAACTGGCGACAAGTGGGATGTCCAGCTGGGGATCTTGCAGCCTTGGAGGCGCGATTCTTTATACTCCTTCGACAGTATGCCCAGTGGAATCACGCACCAGTCAGCAAAGATGTTTTTCCAAGTCGCAGTAGCTTGACATAGTTGGACTCGTCGGACTTGACTACGCAAGAGGCCCGTGAAGTGAAGAAGTGCGGATTGTCCAGGAGATGAAGGGTCTTGACTAAAGTGGGTGTTGCCAGAATGGCGACAAACGCGGTTTTCCCGGCGTCAGTCATGAAACGCTTATTCTCCAGGCAGTGCAGAGCATGTTGGTCTGTCCCTCTGCATCTGCAGGCGGAAACTTGCATCGAAAACGATGCCTGCCGCAGTCATTGCGTCCAGTGTGTCGTGGTGCATGCATGCACTTTGGCCCGGGCATGGCTTTTGCGACGGCCTCGTTGCGTTCTTCCTTCGCTTCTTGCTGTTTACTGGGCGGCCAGACCTGAGAAAGTGAAAAAAGAGAGCCAGACCTGAGAAAAAAAACGCCGGACCCTATGTCGAAACACAAAGTAGATGAATCAGCTTCATTCCCAAGCTCGGTCTTGTAGCGCTTCCAAAACCCTCATAAGCACTTAGTCGTGGCATCGCCAGGTGTGTCTCTGCGCTCCTTTCAAACCGCGTTCGGATCATGTCTGGGAATCGGAAACGAGTTTGTGTTTTCGCAGGTCCGAGCATCGGCATGGCTGCCGACCAGAGTATGTTCCAATACTTGTGTCTGCAATCCATCCCCAAACTCCTGGCCCCCATGATTCAGCCATCGCCAATATGATCAAGTTTAATGGAGAAAATGGTTCCGCCCTACCCCAATGGGCACAACAAAGAAGTGGACCCATGGAATGGGCACACACCATGCTTTCCACTCCACAACGTCCACGGGCCCTTGACGTACAAGTATAGTTCCCTTAATTACTTATAACCCCCCAGAGATAGCTATCCATGAACCTCCAAGCAGGTGCTGTAGAATGCTGTAATAATAACTTCGTGAAAGTAGGGCGCTTCCTCGACTCTACTCAGCTTTCCGCAAATTAAGTATTGGTGGAGGTTGACTCGTTGACTTGCCGATTTCAGACAAGTGGCACGGCAGACGTCGCAATCCAAAGGGCTCCGACCTAGCCAGATTTGAATGGCTGAGCGGCTGAGTTCTTCTTTTCCCTGCGGGATGTTTTCCGAGAACCCAGAGACTCCAAAACCCCTCAATTAAGGAATATACCTTAGATCAGATCATATTCGGGTTCCTACTATAATTTAAGGTCTATTCCTATATTCCTTAATTGAGGGGTTTTGGAGTCCCCGGGAACCCTGGCTCCCATTTTATCTCCTCGCCGTGCCTCGTCAACGACGCAGCCTGGCACCGTGTGAAACATCGGACTTCGTCCTTGCAGAGGTATTTTTCTTTGGTCTTCTCGACCTTGCATAAATGGGGTTTAATCGCTCACACTCGGACAAGCCAGGCGAGGCATTCAAGGTTCAGATAATGGGGTTTAGGGCTTAGGGATTTCCGAGAACAGGGGTACCCTTTTTGGCTGTCCCTTGAAGGGATTCCCTTCTATTTGGGGTAGAAAAGGGGGTACCGCTTTTTGGGAAATGCCCGTATGATCTCATCGCTCTCTCTGTCTTTCAGGTGGCTCAGATCTTCTCTTGCAGGCTCCGTGCCCTTGTTGCCAGGCCAGAAGCACACTTCATCTTTAGGACCATGTTGGCTTCATCTACTACATAGTGTATATATATATATGTATACATATCTATGTATATATTACTTTGCAGTATGACATGCATGTCGCGGAGAGTGAAACCGAGAACGGCCTTTGAGTCTGTTTTGGCAACTTTGGCCAGGGGCGTCCCCTTGCCCGAACTCATTCTTCGTTGGATCTGCTGATGCGTGACATCTGCCTTCAGGGTGGTCTCTAAACCCTCAACCCTCAACCCTCAACCCTAAACAGGTTTCCATGCTACAGTATGGACCTGCTCTCCTCCTCTGAAGGCCTGAAAAAAGCTGCAGCATCAGGTGTGGCGCGACGACGGAGGTTGGCCTGCCCAACTTCATGATGCGAGTCATGAAGAATACCCTAAACCCTAAACCCTAAACCCAAACCCTAAACCCCAAAAAACGCCAGCTGCCTCCATCAACGACCATGGCTGCTGGCTCATCTCCGTCCGACTGCATGGCCTCTGCACTTCGAAGGTTCTTGTGAGTTTAAGGCTCTGCATCTGGGTAGCTCTCAAAATTCGGCTCTCTTTTTGAGATCACTTACTTAAAGGGTGCCGCCTTATAATGCCCAAAAAAGGGACCCGAATGTCGGAAACTACCCCCTCACAACTTCTCCGTGTATGCCATGGTGCACCCATCGAATCCGTTGAGGCATGGCCGAGCCTTCCAGTCGTTCAAACAAGGGGATGACGTGCTTTTCGGACCTGAAATACTTCACAAGCTCCGTCTGAACGTACCGACTGCGGTCTGCGAATGCCAGACTAAATAACTCTGCATCTGCATCTGCCCCACCCCCGCCCGTCCCCCCCACTTTTCCTCTTAAGGCTTTAAGAGACCGGCCGAGGAGTTTCTTAGCCAGGAGCCGCCTTGGATGGTGCTCACGTAGCGGGGCGAGGCGAACAAAGCATGAAGCGACTTTCTACAGCATAAGGGCAGGCTTCATAGTGACTTCGTGACCACATGCAGCAGTTTGTTGCAAGCCAGTCGCCGCAGTCGTTGCTGGCGGGCTTTCTTCTGGACTTCCTGAAAGCCAAGAAGACTAATTGAAACACCTGCGGTCGCCACACATGAAGACATCAGGCTTTAGGGTTTAGGGTTTAGGGATCAGTGTCGAAGTGTTCATGACCGTTTCGAAGCTCCCCCTCCTGGTCTTCGCGATGACGCCTCCGGTCAACCAAGTCTTGAAGCTCCTGGCCCGGATAGCTCACAATGCCTCCAAGTTCATGTATTAAGGCTCCACCGAGGCAATGTATCAACAGCTACAGTGACAGCACGGGGGTTCTGGAGACTCCCAGGAAGTTAAAGTGAAGAGGTCAGGGGCACGCAATCTTGCCGCAGGCACGCTCTCCCAAAACCCTAAACCCTTCTCCCATCAATTTCTTCGCTTGGGAGGTGAAGCGCTGCATTTCTGAAATCGGGGGGGGGGGATGCCAAGCTGAGCACAAGCATTGTGCGACAGCTATCTGCGGATCTTCGCGAAATGGGACCTAAACAAAACTCGCCTCGGCAAGACACCCTAAACCCTAAACCCTAAACCCTAAACCCTAACCCGAAACCCTAAACCCCAAACCCTATACCCTAAACCCCAAAATCCAAACCCCAAGCATCCCGGAGCTCACGGATGCCTGCACCCGCCGGGCACTGAGTCGAACCAGGCTGTGTGGAGAAGGCTGCGGTGTGCCTGACGATGAAGACCACGGAAGAATAGGGTTTTTGGGGTTTAGGGTTTAGGGTTCAGGGTTTAGGGTTCAGGGTTTAGGGGTTAGGGTTTAGGGGTTAGGGTTTAAGGGTTTAAGGGTTTCAGGGTTAGGGTTGATGAAGACCACGGAAGAAGAGGAACGAGCGGTTTAGGGTTTATAGGGTTTATAGGGTTAATAGGGTTTATAGGGTTTATGGGGTTTATAGGCTTTATAGGGTTTATGGGGTTTATGGGGGTTATAGGGTTTATCGGGTTTATGGGGTTTATAGGGTTTATAGGGTTTACAGGGTTTATAGGGTTTATAGGGTTTGTAGGGTTTAGGGTCCCCGACAGCAAGCCCGGCACCACGGGAACCAGGCCTGCTGCCTTCTTTGGCAAGCTGACCTTCTGGCCCTCGATGGACAGGTCCACGCCCTGGCATTGAGATCACGCAAGAGCCCATGGAAGGCAAGCGATGTGCCACAGGAAAGTCCAGGAAAGCTGCTTTGTGGAGGTGTGGGGTTGCATGTGTGTGTGTCCGACACATATGTGTACATGCGATGCGGCTCTCGGAACTCCAGATGAGCCCTGAGAACTCTGAGTGATGCCGAACACGTGCTGCCAGGACACGGCATGGAGCCCAGGAAGCTTGGGGATCCTTAGCTTGGCGTCTCTGTGCCACATTGTGCCACGAGTCACGACTGTGACCACCCTTTTTTGGGCCATGTGGGGGTTGACGATCATAAGGGACCTCGAGTGTAGACGCCAAATAGTAGGTTAGTAGGATCTCTTGATAATAAAAACCCCAAAAAGGTACCCCTCATATCGCAAACCCCCATGTGAACCTTTGGCCAAAGGGGCTTTGGTCCTTCATGGATGAGCTCAAACTTCAGAGTGCCCTGCTCGGCAGGCTCACGCCTGTTGTGGCTCCCAGGGTTTAGGGTTGACCGAAGGAAATTATGTTGCAACCCAAATGTGGGAGGATCCAAAAAGTAGAATCCCCAAATGATACACTAGTCACTATACTACTTTTTGGGTCAAGTGTTAGGCACCCTTAGAGGATCTACTTTTTTGGATCCTCCCAGAGGTCTGGGAAGCTAGGAAGAACAGCACACAAGTCCAGCAGTCATAATAGCCCCACGTTACGCACAGGTCTCGAGCTCATGACTATACGCACTGAATCAGATGAAAAGGAAAGAGAAATACCAGTTGTGAGCAGTATACATATGTGGCAACATGAAAGTCAAGGTGAGCAAGTTCCTACACGCTGCCTGTCTGGACCGGGCCCATCAATGACCACGCTGATTGCATCGCGGACACCTTGACAATTGCGGCTTTCGGCGCAGCACAGCATACTTGATTGGCTTTGATTTTCTGAGTTGTCCCGGCCTGAGGAGATAAGAAAGATCTTGCGAGTCATTATGAGTCAGCCTAATTATGGCTTTCTTGCAGGATAATGTGGTGTTCTGATTCATATTCCCCCCCCCCCCATTACCCCCCCTCCCCCCATCAACTTGATGACGGAATAGTAGCGTTCGGACCCCTGAGTCAAGTTGGGAAAGTTGTTTGGGTGGCCGGGGATCAAAGTTCTCTTTGTTTCAACTCGTCCAGGGCCGAGTTTCGGTTTCCTGAAGCTGAATCTCGGAAGGGGGACCAATAGTGCTCGCCGAGCAGCAAGAATCGCATAGACGGCTGGTCACCGGCCCACATGCCTGCATGAGCGGAATGTCCTGAGTGCATCTTTTTTACGGCACTTCGGACGCCAAGGTTCGGCAGGAATTGGCGTGAGGGCCTACCAAGCCTACCTGTGCTGGGATGCGATGGATGCCAGGCCACATTGACCTCCAGCAACCAGACGTTGTAGTCTGCATCCACCTGCCATTCGTATTGTTCTTGGCAAAGCTGCCTGGCAGTCAACTCTTACTCCTTGAGCAAGTTTGTACAGTACTATAAAAACATGCCGAACCTCCCAACCCACCATACGAAACCCCACCCCGGTCCCCAAGCTATTCGCAGACCGTCAATCACTAAGAGAACTGGCACTACTAGTACAAAGTAAACCGAATGCCAGTTGTCATGGCAGGCCATGAAGAGTCTGGTGCATCTGGAACCAAAGACTATGGCAAGCAAGCCAGGGGCACCATGAAGTCATAGCCGAAAAGCTGAAAGCTGCAGGAGGAGTTTTGTGGCCTGTGGGCTTGAGCGTGACAGCTCCCGGATGCCAGCTACGGCTTTTCGTTTCTGAGCCTACATAGCATAAACCTGTGTCATGAGCCCGACTCAACTTGACAGGGCTGAGTGAAGCCGAGGGTGACTGTGTCGAGGGTAGCACTCAGGGTGAGTGTTTAGGGTTTAGGGTTCTCTACCCTAGGTTCCCTCCATCTTTAGGGATACTTAAGTCTAATTAAGGTTGTTTAAGGGGGGAACCTAGGGGGTGTAGTATAGAGGGTGGTGTGATGCAGGCTGCCTGGACAAGACCTCGGCCACGCTCTGCAACGAGGCAATGACCACTTGCTGCATGGCCGGCCGCACCTGCTTTGCGGTGCTGCTCCGGCACTGTGACGGCTGCTTCGGGTTTAGGGTTTAGGGGGTTTGGGGTTTAGGGTTTAGGGGGGTCTAGGGGGTTTAGGGTTTAGGGTCACCAGAAACGCACAGTCTGGCGCTTGCTGCCCCCTTCCCCCTTCCCAACTCCAACACATTCAAAATATTGATTTATCCCTATGATGCACTTCTGATGTCGCTGTTTCGTGCAGGAACCCCAGGTGGGGCTTCGCAATGCCGCGCCAGCGGCCAACTTCGTCTGAACCGCAAGTTCTTGCTGCCTTCTCGGTCCAGACATCCCGACCAGACGACTCATGCAAGAGCCGCCGGTATCTCTCCTGTTCTGGACATTTCTGGATAAACAACCAGCATGGCACTTTGCAGCCTCACGTCTGTCCAGGGACTAAGTGCAAGCCCTCACCGCATGGAGAATGACGTGAAGTCGGGTCCTGGGTCCATTGGCAGCGCCAGTCTTCATCGTCCGGGTTATAGTTCCTTGGTTGTGTAATCGGAGCCCGCAATGCGCAAATCCAATCTCTCACCCTTCGCTGCCCCAAAAAAAAGTCGGTTGGCGCAGGGCCCAGATTCCTTGTCGAGCTTCGGATGGTGCTTCATGATGATCGTGTGTGTCAGGTGCGTGAAGCCTAGGGACAGGTTTGAAGCTGCAGCTTGGCTGGTTCACGTGATGACACCATACTGTATGCAACAATGCCCCACAGACGGGTTTGCAGCAACTTGACTGAGATTTCGGCGGTCTGCAAAGTCGTCCAGAGTGTACTCGTTCGCTGCAATGCGAATGTAGCCTGCAGAATCTTACGGGGGTCCATCTACGCAGACGAGCTTTCAGCTCAAGCATGACAAGACCGCCAGGCAACACTGCCGCTGGTCTCGTCGTGCTGCTTGCAGCTATTTCGTTAACTTTGCCAAGATCCATTATTGAAGCGCTTACTGTGTTAGTTGCGAAGCCAAGTCTGATTTACTAATTACTCGTTGGGATCTCCGGGAAGCACTCGCTGTAGAAGTAGATCGTCAGCGGATTCAAGGAGGTCACCAGGACCCACTGTCGGATGTCATGCTTCCGAGCGCCGATCCTAGGATTCTAGACCCAAGAACTGTGTCCAAACGGCTGTGCTCTGACTAGCTCCTGCGTACAGCAGCCAAGACTCAGCAAAGGATTCTCGATATATTTCCTTAGTAACATGCAGCACAGTACGTTGTCGAACAGATGAGGTAGGGAAACTGAACAGCAAGCCAGGCCATCCAGCTGATTGCGGCAGAGTGGCTGACACACGTACGTGCACGTCTTGTTGCGTGCTTGTTGGAAGATCCTGTCCAGATCATTTTCCACCTTGGGCTTCAATCAGCGAGCTGTAAGTTCCGCCCTGTTTCGAACAGGGAAGCCTTCGAGATTCAGGACCCAATGGAGCTTCAAAGACTATCTCAGCCTAGCCGCGATGATGCCGTGTCCACGCAGGCTGTTGGCGGGCTTCCTCAGCACCGGAGGATTTCGGCTGGCACGTTTCGCAGTGTCCGGCGGCATCTTCATGGTCCGCATCTTTATGTAATGCAGCCTAAACCCTAAACCCTAAACCCTCAACCCTAAACCCTAGTGTATGTCAGCGTCTTTAGACCTTGGAGTTGATCAGATGCTACGAGTACCCGCTTCATGCGGCTCCCAGCATTGGGACAGAAGCTTCTGCCATAAGTTGGGATGTTCCCCCTGATACTAACAGTCATAAGGGATCAAATCTGGGGTACGAAAGTCCCTCTTAAGGACTGCAAGAGTATACGGGGGAACATCCCAAGCTCTAAGTATATCACGTTTAGAAGCCATGGTGTGCTTTCCTCACTGTGCAGGGGTACTTGCAGCCAGGAGGCAGGATCCAAACATTGCGCTGGTTCAGGTCGAACTGCGGGTGCTGCTTCAAAGACTCCACGACCTTCAGGGAGGAGGAGGGGGGGGGGGGGGGGGGGGGCTGTCTTGTGTCGAAGTCTTACCCCGGGCCCAACAATCCAGACTCAACCGAACTGAAGGGTGCTCAATCAGGTGTTTTAGGTTTTGTATGGTCGGGTAGAACAACACGAAGTAGGCAAGTCCTTTTTGTTCGCGAAGCTGTTGAAATCTCTCACCGGCCTCTTCCACTTCTTGCCGCAGCTCGCTGCCCGTTGGCTCTTCCAGAGGTTCGGAGGTTTCTTCCTGTGGCAAAGGAGCCGTCTAGGGAACCAGTTGACGGTGTGACCACGGGCGAGACAACAGGAGATCGCACTGGCGCGGGGCACTGAGAATTACTTGGGTGGAAGCTATTTTATCGAAACAGCTTATCCCCAGCGCGCAGGTCTTGTGCTGAAAAACTTGATGTTTCCGGGATCCTGTTCAGGATACGCATATCCCTCTCGGGCAATTTTGGGACTCGAAGACCTCTTTCCCAACAATTGTTGCACCACCTGAAGTGAGGAAGACTCCCAAACCAAACCATGATGACGGGATCGCCCACGCACACACATGGGCTGCGAATCTTGAATTGAAAGAGAGGGTATCGGTCCAGCCAAGGCTAAGCGGCTAAATGCCTGAACAACAGGAAAGGGGCTGAGGAGTCTGCGGCACCTTTTCGCAGGATGCGGATGAACACGTTTGAGATGGAATTGCGGAGCTCTGCACCTATTGAGTCTTTTTGAACATCATAAGGGGGGGGGGGGTCGCCACAAGGCAAGGGGGGATAGCTTCTGACCACAAGGGAGAGTAAAGGTGACATAGAAGTGTCGGCGACGGATGGCTGGCTAACATCGGCACGTGATGTCCTCCTCAGGGTCGATGTCTTCCTTGTCCTCTTGCTCGTCTTCCTGAGGCAGAACAGACTATACACAAACAACAAATAAATAAGAGAATAAAATAAATAAATAAATAAATATATATATATATATAATATCGCATAATGTATATAAACAAAAAAAAGTATAGATATATATATATATGTGTGTATATGTATACCTCAAGCTATGTCTTAACAAAATATGGTGCATGTGCATTTGTCTGCACTTTCTGGTGCAGAACAGATTGCAGGATCTAGGAAAAACATACGCCTCAAAACATATTTGAAAAACTTAATGTACATGTACATGTTTTTGTCTAGACGGAGCTCTGCACCACAAGTGAAGCGTGCCTCCAAGGGCCCAGTCTCGGTTGGCATCTTTTCCTCCTCTGGCTCCTTCAGTTTTTTCGTACTGCGGCGCTTCTTCACCTCCAACAAAGCCAAGGGAGCAGAATCTCAGGCTTTGGCCTTTATGAGGCTTGGGCCATTAAGATCGATTAAGGGAGATGTATTTCCGGCTAGCTTTGGTGAACTGCTCCGTTCGGGCTCGAATTTGCTTGCTGTTCGATTAACCTTTGGTTTTGGGGGTTTTGGGGTTTTGAGGATTGAATTCACCCTCGTTCTCAAGATACATTCTGGGGGCTGTCCGCTACAAAAACTCTGAAACAAACGACTTTTGAACTCTGTCCGGCGGATGGCTGATGGGGCTGCCAAGATGCCTTCACCTGTTCAGCAAGCTGCTGTAGCTTCCTGGATCCATGCTAGCTCTGGAGCTCTTGCGAGAGCTTTGGTTTAGGGTTTGGGGTTTGGGGTTTAGGGTTTAGGGTTAAGGTTTAGGTCTTAGAATTAAAATATTAAAAGGTATAAAATATTTAAAAAATTGTGAAATATTTAAGAATAATAATGATATCGTTAATATTAATAATAATAATGATAATGATAATAATATGTTATCAATGAAAGTAGATAAATCAACATCAGTTGATATGAAGGATGATGAAAAGTCATTGCGAGTCTCAAACTCAAAGATTTCAGGGGCAAGGGCTGGTACACTGGGGTAGGTTTGGAGGCCCTATGATTTAAACAAATTACATCTTTCTGGCTTAATAAGGATTATATCAGGATTGAGGGAAATACAAATATAAATTATGTTTCAACCTACCCCTGTACAGGGAGCCCACGCCAGGCATGTTGGGCCGACGAACGCCTGGTAGGCAATCAACCACATCTGTGGAGTCCTGTCGTACTGCTCGATGAACTGCTTGTTCTTCTCATTCAACAGCTTTCCTGAGACAGAAGACCAATCAAATTTAAATGACAATTGCACTTGCAGTCACTTGCAGAGCAGCTTGGAAATAGCACGACGTTATGCACATCCAAGATTCGCCGCAGCTTCTCGTGCTGCCAATCGCTGGAAGCCACATTGTTTTGAGGCGCATCAAAGTCAGCAGCCAAGAGAATGTCCCACTCCTTCGTACAAGCGAGCGACTCACAATCGGTCGCACCGGTGGCGCGATGGACCGGATGGAGCTGTGTAAAGCCAAAGCCAAGCCCCCTATTTCGGGAACCCCCACACGAATCAACCAATTTGTTCGCATCGGCCGGGTCTCCTTGCGCTTGACGCGGAAATCCACCTGCGCAGTCCCATTGCTGGAGGTCTGCTGATTGTTTAGGGTCTAGGGGTTTAAGGTCTAGGTCTGTCAAGACGACACGTCCGCCAAGATCGTCAAATGGGACCAATGTTTCGAAACATACCGTGGGGTCCGGCGTTTCCAGCAACTTAGCCCGTGCCGGTGAGATGTCAAAGCCGATTCTTGGCAAACCGTGTCAAGCCCTCGGCAAGGTGGCCTGTTCAGCCTCGTTCGTGTCACTATAAAGCTTGGCGTCGATGTCCGCCAACCGCCGCTTCACCACCCTCAAAGCCTCAGCCAAGACAGAGTCAGGTTGCTTACTTACGTACTTCCTTCTACTTCTACTTCTACTTCTAGTTCTACTTCTGCTTCTGCTTCTACTGCTACCTCTACCTCTACCTGTACCTCGACGTCTACGTCTACGTCTACCTCGACCTCTACCTCTACTTACGTACTCTCTATTGAAACACGGTGATGAAGGGTTTGGGGTTTAGGGGAAAACCAAGAACCAAGAACCAAATCCCCAAGAAGAATCTCCGAACTCGTTTAGTTTCGTTTGCTTTTGGTTGTTCATGGAGTTTGTTTTTTTTTTTTCTTTGCATTTTTGCTGGTTTCTGGTGGTTTCCCTTCGTGAACTTCAACCAAAACCAAAATACAAAACACCACCCGAGGAAACTACCAAACCGAACGGGTTGCCAGCAGTCCCCAAAACAAAAGCAAAAAAGCCAAACCTCCAGGCAGATCTCAAACTCTTCCTTTTTTCTACTGTGGTTTTTCCTCAAGCTTGCTTGGCTTTGTGGCTTCGGGTGGGCTTCCCTTCATTCCAACCCCACAAAATGCAAAACACAACTCGAGGAAGAAGCGAAAACACAGGGTTTGCCAGCAGGCCCCAAACCAAAAACCGAACAGCCAACCGTCCGGAGAGAATCTGAGAACTCGTCTCTGTTGTTCTCCCTGAGGGTTTGGTTTTTCGGTCGTTGGTTTTGGGGCCCCTGCTGAGCAGAAAGTGGCCATTAGTGGAAAGCCAACACGATTCCAGCCCCTAATTTACCCCCTTCGTCCGATAAGCCTGGTATTCCGTGTTAAGGGAGCGGGAAGTATAACTATTCAAAATTCAGGAGGGTTGGGGCCTGACGCTTTATTCCATGGTGTGTTTCAGGGTCATTGGGCTATGGCCTAATTAGCGTAAACTATGACTTGCATTTAAATCTAAACCGGCCGGCAAAATCGTGTAAGTAATTGAACTAGCTGACCTGCAAGCATGTTAACCTAATTCTTGAAGCGATTTACAGTTTGAGCTTGAGGGGAATTTGCCAAACCAAAAGTAGTCTTTTTTTGTATAAGTTTGCTCATGAAGCCAATGCAGGTATTGTTGTTCAGTTGGATGAGGCCAGTCGCTATGAACATAATGATAGCTAAACATGCTTGGCTAGGCTTCAAACACATGGTTTTTAACCATGTAACATAAAAAAACTCATCAAGTTTCAATTCAGCTTGATGATAGCGGTCAGGGGCTATGTTGTTTGGGCTAGTTATATGCATTGCAACAACATCAAACAAGTGGCCCTTTCAACTAATACATGCCCCCTCCTGTTTTGCATGAACACCACTGATAAAAACATACGCTTCGCAATTCTATTAGTCCCCCCCTAGTAAAGTAAGTAGATGGTCTCTCTATCTCTCTCTCTCTCTCATTGGATTAACAATTGGAGGCCGGCTATGTTCAAGAACTACTCTTCAGTCTTAGACATGGCCAGAGAGTAGTGAAAGAGAACGACGGACAGCTATTGGGACAACCGACGGGTCAATTCAGATTCCGTGCTCAAGGCGGAAATGTTGTTGTCGTTGTTTTTAGCCCTAGTTACACATACACGAACAAGCCTGGTTACAACATTTGTTCAATTAAATATAACTAGATCTACAAACCAAAAAACTAGCCCCGATTATCAAACTTCTGATATTGCCGCACCCACAAGCTGCCCTCATCCTCTTCCAATACCCCCGGCCGTCATCGCTTTTCAAATAACAAGTTGACCTTCAATGAACTCAACTCGCCCTCATTACCAAAACCAAGAAAGAGGCCCCAATTCTACAACAACTGATTTTGTCGGCGCGTCGGTTGTCCCAGTAGCTGCCTGTCCTTCTTTATCTTGCAACTTTCCTTGCCATTGAAACCATATGCCTTTAACATTTTCCTGGCCATTAAAGCAGGATGCAATCATGGGTAGTTATAAGCAGGGTTAGAAGTACCTTTATGGAGGTTATGATAGTTTCCCTTACATATAACCCTACTTATAACGATAGTTGCCATGCAATGTTTGTTCATCAGACCAACTGGAACAGTTGTATTTTCACCTTGTCTAGCAAAAGGTAACCTTGAAAACTTTACTATACGAATATACTTATATAACAACAGTACAGCAACGTAGCAGTATAGTGAAACAAGAATATAACCCTTTTTGCTAAACCCTAAACCCTAAACCCTAATTAAACCCCAACCCTAAACCCTAAACCCTAGGGTTTAGGAATATAATGTTATGTACTGGTGGACTGACCAAGGCCCCGGGCCGTGCGAACGACGCCTTCTTGGAAGGTCTCCTTCGCAGTCCTTTCATGAAGAGCGGCTGAGGGGTTTAGGGTTTAGGGGTCCTTTCTTCAACACTTGCTCTTTCGTTGTCGTGTAGACCTACCTCTCCAAGTTGGCAGCTAAGGCAGCTAGCTGCACAGCTTCAGCAGTTCTGCAAGCAAGCAGAGCTATTCGGAAAACATGCAGCTGAGAAGCTTGTCTTGATGGCTCAGCCACTCCTTAGGAACGGGTCTGCTTCTCGCCTGCGACACCTCGTGAATGTACTGGCCCGTAACTGCATGATTCCTCCTCCTTTTGCTACCCTCCCACGCGCTGAGACGGTCACACTCACCCTAAACCCTTTTTGCAACTGGACTGCGTACAGCTGCCAGGAAAGGATACGACCCCACTCAGCCTCGGCTAAAACCCTAAACCCTAAACCCTAAACCCTAGACCCTAAACCCTAAACCCGCCTTCAGCACGCAGCAAGCCTTGGAGTATTTAAACTCCAGGGCAAACTCCTGCAGCGCCGACGCTTTGTCCAGGGGGAAGCATGCCGGGTAGAAGCTTCCTGGGAGGAGCAGCTGGCGAGGCTTCGGTAGCAGGCCACGGGCGCTTACACAAAAAAGAGACAGCAGCTTAAGGTTGGGAGCAGTTCGAAGTGCAAAGAGATCGCGAGGATGGCAAGAGGACCCACTGAAACCCAGCTTTTCAAATTCAGAGGAGCTGCTGGAATCAACTGGGCTGGAAGCTGCCTGCAGATTCTCAGCCAAGCCTGGCATGGCATGAAACCACGTAATGTCAGAAAGGCAGGCAAACAGTAGGGTTTAGGGTTTAGGGTTTAGGGTTTAGGGTTTAGGGTTTAGGGTTTAGGGTTTAGGGTTTAGGGTACTATGGTGCAGTTCGGCCCTCATTCGTGAAGCTCGCTAGGCGCAGTTGATCAACGTTTTGCAGCGTTACCAGTGGTGCCGTCGGCCGCCGAAGACCAAAAGACTGTTGCAATATCATGACACACTAGTCGTATTGGTTAGGAGAGCCTAGAATCTAGACCCTAAACCCTAAACCCAGAAAACACTTCGGCGAGCCTGACTTTGTAGTCAGCTCGGAGTCACACTCGAAATGGTTGACGAGCTTTGGCGGCGACAGGGTCTTCCAGTCCACCTGCCCATTTAGGGTTTAGGGTTTAGGCATGACCCGGTAATCCTTTTTGGGGGGTGTCCGAAATTGCTGGCACCTTATTGGTCCCAATTATAAGGGAATCCTACTATGTGTAAGCCCCATATTGCACTTCACCCCTGCAGTGCACAAAACCAGGTCTTGCGTTGACATGGTCGTGGATGCCCTGGCCTTCACTCGCGGCCCCCACTTCAAGTCAAAATCTGATCGGGACTCCGGGTCCAGCTCCACAAAGTTTCGAGACAGTAGCTCCTGCCGAACCTGGGAAGCGCTTCTTCTCCAGATGTTCAGTCCGCTGAGCTCAGAGGGCCCCCCTACAAGGCTATGCATGGCTTTGAGATGCTTGTTTGCTGCGACCTCCGATTTTAACTGCCCCCAAGGCTGGTCCCACCACAGCCTGAGAAACGTCACAACTTCACCAAATTGCTGAGGATCGCGCGACCTCTAAGTTGGCACATTCGGGATTCCCCGTGATGACGAAGGTTTTCGCCTGTGCCACTGGAGAACGTCTGGAGTTCCTTGGCTCAAGTTTGGCACGTGACTCTGTGATGTTTGTCATGGCAGCACGGCAGCACTCGGCGTCATTTTTGACTCGGCTCAGTAATTATGCTGCTCTTACATGCTTTTCACTGCCTCCCTCCCGCCTCAGCCTTCATACTACCCAGATCTTCCCAAACACCTTGATGAAGGAATATACCCTAACTCATATTTAAGGATCCTTAATATACCTTAGGGTAGAAGTTGCCGACTTGCCTAAGCAGCTCCCGCTTACCTTACGAGCAAGAAGCTTGGTGGAGGCCGGGCCCACGCAGGACGTCGAGCCAAGCAAGGTGGGAAGCAGCTTCCTCCAAACAAGATATGAATAGATGCATATATACATATGTACACATATACATTATCATACATAGAAAAGCACACACATGCACACACACACAATACATATATACAATAAATATATATATATATATATATACACATATATACATACCATGTGAATATGTCCGATGTTTCTGGGCAGGTGGTCAAACGCATCAAAGTTCGTCACCAAGCAAAGGCCCATGACCTATGAACATCTTATCACAAAGTTAAAGTGTGAATTGTGCCGACACCATGATGCAATATGTATATATGCATATATGCATGTATGTATGTATGTATGTATGTATGTATGTATGTATGTATGTATGTATGTATGTATGTATGTATATGTGTATATGTATATATATATATATCAATACATATACTGCCACCATCAAAACGCAAACGACCCGTGCCTGCGCTCCCGCAAGGAAACTCCAGTCCCAAGGAGCTGGCCTCGACTGAATGCCACACCTACTTGGAGGTTCATTGGTAGCTAGAACTATACTCCCCTTAGAACCTTAATAAAAATATCATTTTCAATATCCTCTTGGGTTTTATATGAACAAAAATAAAAAAAAATAATTCCCAAGGGGAAAAATGGGTAGCTATAAGTAAGGTAACTAGACTTATTTGGGGTACTTGAAACTAGGGACACCTTATTGGGGTCCTCATTTTGCGGGAATCCTACTATTTGGGGGTCTATTCTAGGGATCCTTTGTTTTTTGTAAACTCCCAAATGGTCGTTCCATGTACGAGCTAAGGCTAGTTCAGGTGCTCACGATGCCAGCCGGGTGCTGCAAATGTCACGAGGTCTGTTGGAAGAAGCCGTAAGAGCTTACACCAAAGCGATAATCGTAACATCAGTCAACACGGTAATCACACCGTAACCAGACGTGCCTTCACTTATAAGGATCCAGAGAAGTGGGTCAACAACTGCGCAGTGTGTTTTAACCCTACACCCTAAACCTTATAAACCCTAAACCCTAAACATCCCTCCAAGCGGCTCAGCGAGCCGACGCTGAGGGCACGCGGTGTGGATCGCGCCCGCGTGCGCGTTCCGTCTCCCATGGGAGGAAGCTCGAAGCGGCTCCCGCGGCTTGCAGCGAAGGCCATGGCTACTGGGGATTTAAGGGATCTAGGGGATCTAGGGGATCCAGGGGATCTAGGGGATTTAGGGGATTTAGGGCTACTTCATCTGCAAGAGTATTTGGAGAGTTCGAGATGTTCAGGCTTCGGTGGCTTCTGGTGGTCTGAGGTTGGAGGCGACGCTTGCATGATCTTGCATGAGTGGGTTCGGGGACAACAAAGAATCATGGTTACAGACTCGAACTTTGGAAGGGCATTGACTCGGATGCCTTCCCCAGAACCACCCTCGAACACCAGCTATCACCAGCTCCCGCCCTAAACGAGCACGGGAGCAGGCGCGAAAACAATTAAAAGCTGCCAGAGCCAGAGTCACAGACACAAAAGGGCATTTGCACAGAAACTACAGCAGGTACAGCGACAAGTTGCTTGTTGCACTTGCAAGAATACATGCGCGCCTGATCAAGAAAACCCCGGTGTTTTCTTTCCCAGGTATGGCTTCTGACTCATTGCAGTACCCCCGATGCGGTAAGGCTGTCACGAGTATGCCAGTTGCGTGCATCGGTGGCAACGGCCAAACTGTGCCCGCAAAGGGAATCGGAAGCACCTAAACCCTAAACCCTAAACAAATAAACCTAGACCCTAAGCCCTAAACCCTTTCTATGAAACCGTCCGGCTTGCTTTGCCTTTGGGCTGACATGCTGATGCTGGCAGCTACCTGACGTGCGAGGTCTCCTTGTCAATGCATGTGAAGCCAATATTGGCTGCCTTGCTACGTAGCGTGCCAAGAGATCCTTGAGATCGCGGCCGCTGGAAAGTATCATGTTCACAGTGGCAAAAAGCAAATGCAGGCCCCAATGACCCCCACACGAAACACTGTGGAAATGAGTAGAACACTTAGTATTAGTAAAGAAAGCGTGACAGTGTAGCTTGGCGAGTGGCTGGATGCCATGCTTCGACTCTCTTGACGGATGTGGCTAAATAGTTGAATTTACTTTTCGCCCCTCCTCACTGAAAGGGAAGGGGTGGGGGGGAGTTTCCGTGAGGGTGACCGAACGCACCGAAAAGGCCGTTATTCAGCCTGAAGTCACCGTTTCACGTGTTTCCTCCCATCGAGAACATCAGGCTCAGTGCACCCCGCAAGCGCTCTTTTCTGCGGTCTTCATATGTCTTCCGCTCTTAAGCGATCCATGGTGCCCAGGACCACCATGTTCCCATCCTAGCAATGGTTTACAATGGGTTCCCGGCAGTTCCCAGGGCGAATCTCCCAGCGAGAACAAAGGGGCTCTGGTCTTCAAAGCCCATCTCGCCAGGGAGGCCGCTTCTGATGTCTGATGCACTTGCGCCGGCCTCAGAGTGTCCGGTGCCGAAGGCGTACGAAAGCAAGGCAGCAAGATATTTCTGAGATGAGAAGTTGAGACGAATGGAGTTGGGACCAGTTGCTGGCATTTCTTTGCTCAACTATATACTTGAAGTCTCTTCCTTCCAATTGCACCTAAACTGATCTCAAGTTGCAGTCGTTCCTTCAAGCAAACGTGAAGCTATGACACAGTCCTTCTTCCACAATGCAAGGACATCTCCGTAGACTCATCGTTGAAACAAAAACTTGAGGCTCACGGCCATCTTCCAGATAGTACGTGCCATACCTGAGAAGCCCACGCACGCTGGACCACGGTTACACAATACCTCAGATCGCTAGATCGACATGGAGGTTTACGAGAATGAGGGATCCCTCCCAATGAGGACCCCAATAAGGGTACCCCTAATATCGTAGACCCCCAAATGCAGCCTCATGAACACTTCGGTCAACCGACCGAGGCTTCACAGATGAACGACCAACCGAGCCCAAGCTTCATTGAGTGCTACAACTTACGCCTGTCGGCTGGTCAAGATCTTGTACAACTTTCATGCTTTGAAAGGTCCATCGGATCCGAGGCTTCTGATATTGTGGGGCTGCGGGGTGGGGTGGGGTGGGTGTTGTGTATCGCCCCCGCCTCACATCCTCCCCCCCCCCCCCCCCCCCCCCCCCCCAAAGTTTGCAACACCTTTAGTCCCAGGAGCCCCAAACCCCTAAACCCTGAACCCCAAAAACCTTCAACCCTAACCTTGAAGCCTTCATATGGGAGGGTTTCCGAACATAGGAGTACCCTTGTAAATGGGGCTCCTTTAGCAAAAATCTATAGTATTTTGGGGGTATAGAAGGGGTACCCCTCTTTTTTCGGAAACTCCCCCCCCACAGGAAGCTGTTCTGGAGTCTCGGCGCCTGCAAACCAACCGTCGGTACCACCAGCGGCCCCAACTCAGCGCGGCATCTTGAGCTGCTTCTGGGTTCAGGGTTTAGGGTTCAGGGTTTCGGGTTTCGACTTGGGATGTTCCCCCTTATTATACTTAGCCGTCCTTCATCGGGGGTAATTACTAGAATCCCTACTAAGGACTGTGAGGATAAGGGGGAACATCCCCAAGTTTCGAGGCAAAAGGCCCCTGAACACTGCCATGTGACGAATGCCACGTTGGGGTTCTTTAGGGAGGGGGGTTCAAGGGGGGTAGGTAACCCAACGTTCCCTAATACTCCCTAATACCCCCTAAGGCTCCCTAAGCTTCCCTAAGGTTCCCAAGGTACCTAGCCCCCTTGAACCCCCCTCCCTTAAGAACCCTATAATGCCACGGTCGGTCGAGCCATGTTAAAGTGTTGGACGCGGTGTAAGCGGGTACCTACCCTCCATAAGTCAAGTTGGCAGGGCTATTCTGGACACCCTGACTGTTTGGGGTACAGAGTGGGATCCGCAACTTTAATCGTCCGGGTGTCGTAAGGCAATTTCGTGCAGCACGCCTTTAGAATCAATTCCTGGGCCTCCTGTCCTTTAATAAAATCGCATTAAACTCCCTGGGCGCTTGAAAAGAGCGAAAACCAGCTTCGACTGTTGAGGGGGGGCGAGAGTTCCCTAACAAAAAACACCGAACACCCTTCGCCTCTATCCGCCTCGCCGGTTTCGACTCTCACACTAGCGCACGCCTCGCCGGTTTAGGGTTTAGGCTTTATGGTTCGTCACAGCCTGGGGCGTCAGGGATGATTCTTCAAGGTTTCTGCGTTCAGGGGCCGATACTCTTGAGGAGTCTCGGCATTTGGCTGTCTAAGCCTTCCAGAGTTTTCGGTTCTGAGATCTTCTCTGAAAAAGCCCTAAACCCTAAACCCTCCGAGAGTTGGCGCCCGGTCGTCCAACAAAAGCTCGGGGCAGGGATGCGTATGCGCTCTGAGCCTCCGACTCCGTCATCTGCTGGGATTTGAGTAGAGGCTCTGCCTTGCCGAATGCAGGTGGGTGTTTTCGCCACCTGCCTATATTGCCGCAGCGAGGTTTAGGGTTTCGGGTTAAGTTCAGGGATTCAGTTTTAGTGACAGCCATAGGACTGTTGAACCATGGAACACCAGGCCCCCGACCGCTTCCGATGTTGGCTCGTGTGGTGAGCGCTCACCACGAGTTATCGAGACTTGGGGACACCTCGGTACAGGGCCTGAAGGCCTCTTCTCCAAGCTCTTCTGACTGCAGTTCTCTTCCTCTGTTGTGCTGAACGGCTGTGCAATCCACGTCCGCTCACTATCATTCAGTATGCTCTCCAGCCAACATCCTGTGCAGCTTTGGCAGCTCACTCAGGGCCACAGGACATCGGTAAAACTTGCGGCTGCAAGATGGTACGAGGGCCAGCCTTTTGTACCACTTTGCTCTCTTGCGTAAGGCCGACACTGATGCACAGCTGGGTCACAAGATGACAGGTGGTAGTCCCAGATGCTGACACCTCACCAGGTGTGGGCAGTTGTGCAATCAGCCGGAGGCATCGTTAAAGAGAGTAGAAGATGGTTTGGCACATCTCCTTGAATTCAGGTGCCGACGCACGAAACGAGGCGGTGAGGTCAGAATCTGCTGTGGACCTCACTCGGCACAGAACCACTCCCGACAGCAGCTCCCCCTCATGGGGGGGTTTCCGAAATTGGGGGGTACCTTAACTTATTGGGGTCCTTATTATATGGGAATGCTACTATTCCCTTATTTTCGTAAACCCCCATATACAACTCATATACACACGCACATCAATTTGTCTGTGGTACGTTTCAGGCCAGCTTCCAGACCAATATACTTGAGGATATCAGCGACAACCCCAGCATACGCTTTCTCTGATGCGAACAAACCCAAACCGAACAGAACGAGTTGAGACCCACCGGCACCCTGTAGGCCAAGTGAACCCCAACACTGGGGCTATATACCCTATACTACATGTCCTTTAAAGGTATATTTTTTGCTTCAGGGCTTTACAGGTATATGAACCATAAACCCTTTTAGGGTTCACTTGGTCCCCACCAGCACTTTTCAGGCTTCGAATGCTCTGGGCCAGCAGACGCAGAGTTAGAGCGGCGACTGGCGCCTGCAGCGGTTCAGCGCAAGCTACGTGAAGGTTCAGGGATAGTTATAAGTATGGTGTAGGGTTTAGGGTTTAGGGTTTAGGGTTCACGATTCCGGCTTGAGAAGGTTGGAAGGGTCCTAGGCAGCAAAGTGGGCTTCAAAGTTGGGATTTCTCCCTGAATCGGAAGGCAGTGATAGGGCCCTGAGAGGGGGGACGTACCAAGCAGACTTGTTCCAGAGGGTCTGTCACGCGCCCTTCATCCAGAGGGCCTTGAACCTCTCTTGTGCTCTCTTACCCATAAAGTCAAATATCTACGGATACAGCAACGACACGATGGCTTGATATCTCAAGAGGAGACCGTGTAGTCCTTGCCAAAGCCGAGGATGCGGCAGAGCCCCGCAGTAGCTGAGCCTCTGCGCAAGCTTTTGGCTTCTCTGCTCCGTGAAACCGGTGAAACCATTGAGGATACTGCCAGGTGGCGCAAACTTATGGCCAAAAGCCAACTCGGCCCTGCACGACGAAGCTTTCCACCCACTCTGGCAGGTCCTGCGCGCCATGACTCGTGGGATGCCGCTCAGTCGTGCTGTGCATGACTGTTTCTTTGGCAGTCCCACTGGCCACGCGCAAGTGCCAGG